TGTGTATATATATGTATATTTCTGTGTATATATATGTATATTTCTGTGTATATATATGTATATTTCTGTGTATATATATGTATATTTCTGTGTATATATATGTATATTTCTGTGTATATATATGTATATTTCTGTGTATATATATGTATATTTCTGTGTATATATATGTATATTTCTGTGTATATATATGTATATTTCTGTGTATATATATGTATATTTCTGTGTATATATATGTATATTTCTGTGTATATATATGTATATTTCTGTGTATATATATGTATATTTCTGTGTATATATATGTATATTTCTGTGTATATATATGTATATTTCTGTGTATATATATGTATATTTCTGTGTATATATATGTATATTTCTGTGTATATATATGTATATTTCTGTGTATATATATGTATATTTCTGTGTATATATATGTATATTTCTGTGTATATATATGTATATTTCTGTGTATATATATGTATATTTCTGTGTATATATATGTATATTTCTGTGTATATATATGTATATTTCTGTGTATATATATGTATATTTCTGTGTATATATATGTATATTTCTGTGTATATATATGTATATTTCTGTGTATATATATGTATATTTCTGTGTATATATATGTATATTTCTGTGTATATATATGTATATTTCTGTGTATATATATGTATATTTCTGTGTATATATATGTATATTTCTGTGTATATATATGTATATTTCTGTGTATATATGTGTATATTTAGGGAGCTGCTGGGTGCTTACCCAAGGGAGCTGAATCAATCTTCTTCCAAGGTGGGAGGTAGGTTTTTTTCTCCTTCCAGTCGCTGTACTCCTGGCAGCTGTCGCTGGGCTGGTCCCAGGGCAGCTCTGCCGGGAGATCCCACTGCTGTCACCCCTGGTGCCACAACCCCCCAGGCACGCATGTGGCACTGTGGGGACGTGGTGACCCTGCCCTGCCATGGATCCTGTGTGCTCCCTGTGCATCCCAAACCTCCCTGTGCATCCCAAACCTCTCTGTGCATCCCAAACCTCCCTGTGCATCCCAAACCTCCCCGTGCATCCCAAACCTCTCTGTGCATCCCAAACCTCCCCGTGCATCCCAAACCTCTCCGTGCATCCCAAACCTCCCCGTGCATCCCAAACCTCCCCGTGCATCCCAAACCTCCCTGTGCATCCCAAACCTCTCTGTGCATCCCAAACCTCCCCGTGCATCCCAAACCTCCCCGTGCATCCCAAACCTCCCCGTGCATCCCAAACCTCTCTGTGCATCCCAAACCTCCCCATGCATCCCATGGTTTCTCACACACATTCCATACCTCTCTCTGCATCCCAAACTCCTCCTATGTGTCCCATACCTCCCCTGTGCCTCTCACACAGCCCCCTTACACATCACAAACATTCCCCTCCTGCAGTCCTCTATTCCTTCCATACACCCCTACAGATATTCCAAACATCCCCCTCCACGTATTCTACACCTCCCTTATGGATGGACACCTTCCATCTCTGTGTTTCACACATCCCTCTTGCTGTGCACTCCATACATCACTCCCATCTCAGGTGTGCTCCTTCCCCATCCCATCCACCTGTGCACTCCACACACCTCCCCTCACACATTTCACCCGTGCACCCCTTCTGCATTCCATACATTCACCCCTGGACATTGCACAAACACTCCCCCATGTCCTCTGCACCACTCCTGCATTTCCCCCACACCCCCTGAGCACGTCACACACATTCCATCCATTCCTAGAGGCATTCCCACCTCTGCTGGCTGTGTGTCACCCCCTGAGAATTCCATCCATCCCAACATTCCCACCTCCAGCCAGCATGGCCATGGGCACATCACATCACCCTCTGGGAATTCCACCCATCCCTGGCCAGCATGGCCATCAGCACATCACCCCCTGTGAATTCCACCCATCCCAACATTCCCACCTCTGCCCAGCATGGCCATGGGCACATCACATCACCCTCTGGGAATTCCATCCATCCCAACATTCCCACCTCCAGCCAGCATGGCCATGGGCACATCACATCCCCCTCTGGGAATTCCATCCATCCCAACATTCCCACCTCCAGCCAGCATGGCCATGGGCACATCACATCCCCCTCTGGGAATTCCATCCATCCCAACATTCCCACCTCCAGCCAGCATGGCCATGGGCACATCACATCCCCCTCTGGGAATTCCATCCATCCCAACATTCCCACCTCCAGCCAGCATGGCCATGGGCACATCACATCCCCCTCTGGGAATTCCATCCATCCCAACATTCCCACCTCCAGCCAGCATGGCCATGGGCACATCACATCCCCCTCTGGGAATTCCATCCATCCCAACATTCCCACCTCCAGCCAGCATGGCCATGGGCACATCACATCCCCCTCTGGGAATTCCATCCATCCCAACATTCCCACCTCCAGCCAGCATGGCCATGGGCACATCACATCCCCCTCTGGGAATTCCATCCATCCCAACATTCCCACCTCCAGCCAGCATGGCTGTCAGCACCACTCCGCAGGCCCAGACATCGACGGGCTCGGCGCGGAATTCCGGGCGCCGCAGCAGCTCGGGGGCCACGTAGGGCAGGGTCCCACACATCTTGTTCAGCAGCCGCTCCCGCCCGTTGTGCCGGAACACCGTGGCCAGGCCGAAATCCGAGATCTTCAGGTTGTCTGGGCCCAAACAACAGCGAAAAGCCAAGTTAAAACTTTAAATCAAACTTTGCCCCCTCCAGCAAAATTAATTTAAAATGCAAATTGGAATCTAAGGAGAAATCAAAACGTAAGTTATAAGTTCAAACTTAAAATTTGTTTAAAAATTTGAGTTGAAAATAAAAGTTGAAGTTAAGATTTTAAAGTTCTAAGTTTAAAAGTTTAACCTAAAATTTGAATTAAAATACAAATAAAATGAAAAGAAATTAAAATGCAAATTCAAATAAAAGCTTAAATTAAGAAATGAAGCTAGAAACTGCAAAATCTTTACATTAAAAATATACTGTAGAATTTAAATTCAGAATAAAATTAAACCCCTACATTAAAAGCTCAAATGCAAAATATAAGCATTCAAATTAAAGCTTTAATTTAAACACTCAAAAAATACAAGTTAAGAAAGGAAAACTTCATGAGGGTCAGACACATCTGCCCCCACCTCGCTCATCCAGCAGCAGATTCTCCGGCTTCAGGTCGCGGTGGGTGATGCCGATGCTGTGCAGATACACCTGTGGAGGGGCAGGGTGAGCCCTGGGAATCACAGCAAGGAGCAGAGGGGCAGCACCGTGTGGGAATCACAGCAAGGAACAGAGGGGCAGCACCGTGTGGGAATCACGGCAAGGAACAGAGGGGCAGCACCGTGTGGGAATCACAGCAAGGAACAGAGGGGCAGCTCCGTGTGGGAATCACGGCAAGGGGCAGAGGGGCAGCTCCATGCAGGAATCACAGCAAGGAGCAGAGGGGCAGCACCGTGCAGGAATCACGGCAAGGAGCAGAGGGGCAGCACCATGTAGGAATCACGGCAAGGAGCAGAGGGGCAGCTCCGTGTGGGAATCACAGCAAGGAACAGAGGGGCAGCACCATGTAGGAATCACGGCAAGGAACAGAGGGGCAGCTCCGTGTGGGAATCACGGCAAGGAACAGAGGGGCAGCACCGTGCAGGAATTGCCACTGGCACCAGCGGCATCACCGCCGGTGAGCGCTCACCACGCCGGCAATCAGCTGCTGGAAGAACCGCTGTGCCTCTGGCTCTGGCATCCCAACATCTGGCTCTGGACGTGGGGAAGAAGAGGAGCAGTCCTCAGCCGTGTGGAGGTGACAATTTAGGATGCCCCATTGCCCCTAAATCCCCGGGTACCCCCATGCCCACCGATGCGGTCGAAGAGCTCTCCGCCGCGGCAGTATTCCAGGAACAGGTACTGCGTGGCCCCCTCCCGCCGGTGTCCGTAGAACCGGACGACGTTCTCGTGGTTCAGCATCTTGTTGATGCAGATTTCCTTCTTGATGTTCTCCGGGCACTCGGCCGCGCGCTTCATGTCCACGATTTTCACGGCCACGGCCTCCTCAGTGCGGCGGTTCACGGCCAGCTGCACCCTGCGGGGGGCTGGGGTCAGTGGGGCACGGTGGCCATGGAGCAGGCAGGGAATGGGCATGGGCACGGGAATGGGCATGGGAATGCTTTCCCCAGAGACAGGCAGCAAGCAGGCAGAGAATGGGGAGAAAAAGAAAACGCTGCCTCTGGAGACGGGCAGCAGGCAGGGAATATTGCTACTGGAGACAAGGAACGGGCAGGGAATGGGCAGCAAATGCTGCCCCTGGAGACAGGGGGAGGGCAGGATACAGACAGGGAATACAAGGGGCACGATGGGCACGCCGGGGGGCACGCCGGGTGTGCGAGGGGATGTGATGGGCAAACAGTGGCCCTGCATCGGGCACGGACGGGGCGTGTGATGGGCGAACAGCGCGGATTGGGCAGGCCGTGGGCACACATCGGCACTTGATGGCCAGGAGGCGAACAAACAGTGGGCAAGCAGTGGCCGCGCAGGGACGAGCCGCGGGTGCGCAAGCGGCACACGGCGGGGGCAGGGGAACAGCGGCCGCGCAAGGGGCAGGGCACAGGGCAGGGGCGTGCAAGGGGCGGACCCGGCCGGCAGCAACCCCGTTCTCCCCGGCCCCGCCGCACTCACTCCCCGTAGGCGCCTTCGCCCAGCGTCTGCACCAGGTCCCAGTCCTCCACGAAGGGCACCGCCATCCCCGGCCCCGGGATCGCTCCGGACCGCGATCCCGCTCCCGGCACCGCTCCGGCCACGCCGCCTTTTCCCGCCAGAGCCGCGAGCCCCGCCCACCCTGCGCGCGCACGACGCAAGCCACGCCCACCACGTCACCCAGGCCCCGCCCTCACCTGGAACCCCACACCCCGCCCCCCTCGCCGCCGCTATTTCCATTTCAATCGATTAAAAGCATTTAAACGGCCCCAACGCCCCTCTGGCAGAATTCGGGGAGAAAAACCCGCCAAATTCATTTTTATTTATTTTTATTCTTCACAATTCCTGGTCAATCAGCCCCGGTGAGAGCCGCAACTCCTGATTTGGCGACGGCTCCGTGTGTATATAAAAACCACTCCCGGCAGGATGGGGTGGGCAGAGTCCTCCTGCCGCTGCCTGCGCTTACAAACGGTATAAAACAACCCCGAAACAGCCCCCCTGGAACCCCCAAACCCCCAAATCTCTGCTGCACAGGCCAAGGCTGGGTCAGTGCGGTGTCTGGCACGGTCGGTGCCGGCTCTTCTATGTCCTTGACAACCCGCGGTTGTCCAAATCTTTCACCTGGGCAGTAAAGAGGGTTCATTAGGTAGAATTCCATGGGTTTTTCCCAGGGTCTGGGCTCGTTCTGGCACCATACCTTGTATATTCGGACCAGCCAGTGCTCTGTGGTGTACGCCTCCTCCAGCACGTCCAGCTCAAAGTCCTTGTTGCCGATTTCGGCGTTCCTCACCCGGTCGTAGCCTGGCGGTCGCTCTAGGAGAGGGCAAAGGACAGGGCAGTGCTGCTGCATCGTGCCCCAGAGACGTCAGGGCGCAGTGGGGCCCCCCACAAGCAGTGTCACACCCCGGGGGTGACTCAGGCACTCACTGGCCTCAGTGTAGACCTGGCCGAAGCGGTAGTAGCACATCTTGTACATGAGGCAGTTGAGCAGCACCGGGGAGCCCTCGCGGTCGACCCGGAACTCCCCGGTGGGGGTGTAATAGTCGTGCTCCTTGATGTGGCGCCCCGTGTCCGTGCTGCCCCCGATCCGCACCATCCACAGGAACTTGTTGATGTCTGGAAAGCAGAGTTGGGGGGCAAAGAATGACGGCTTGAGTTGATTTGGGGGGCTAAGAGCAAAGGGTTAAATCGGGGTGAAAGAACATAAAGTTGGGATGAGGTAAAAGAATGAGGAGTCAAGTGGAGCTGGGGGCCCAGGAGGGAGGGTTGAGGTGATGTGGGGGTGCCAAAAGCAAGGCTGAGTTGAGGGGGAGCTCCAAAGGCACGTGCAGCTCCAGAGAGGAGCATTCCAGCCCCGTTTTCACTCCACAGCCCCAGCTGGAGGTGGGGCTCTGCCAGCAGCAGCCCTGGCTGGGTCTGACCTGGCTCACAGCGGGATCTTACCGTCCGAGGAGTACCCGGTGAGGCCACCAAAGATGACCAGCACGTAGCTGACGTCCAGCTCCCTCATGATCTCGTAGGCTTTCTCCTCTGTCGAGGCCATGGCCTGGGGCAGACGTGGTGTCAGCCAATGCTGGTGGTGCCCAGAAAGGCTGGCCAAGGCAGCGGGGAAGGGAGGGACGCACCTGGCCGACGCGGGAGATGTGCGTGTTGTTCCAGGTGTTGTTGTCCACCAGGATGGTCCGGTTGGCCATGGCAGTGATCTGGTACCCGTAATCCCACCAGGACATCACCTTGGCATCCTGCACCAAACAGCAGCTGTGTGTCAGCAGCTCAGTGAGCTGTGTCGGGTGCCCACGGCCCCAGCCCCCCGTACCTCCGGCGTGTTGTGCCGCAGCCAGTAATAAGCTTCTCGGAAGTCATCGAAGATGATCCTGCTGCCATCCCCACCGCGGGCAGAGAGGACGATGGAGGGAGAGGAATAAGCCTCGCTGGTCACCCAGGTGGAGTGGAAGGTGTAGGTGATCAGGAAGAACGCCATGACCAGGATCATGCCGCTGGCAACCTGCGGGAACAACGCAGGATCTCAGCACTGGAGGGACGGGGCCGTCAGCCTCCTGCACTCAGCCCATCAGGACCAGGCGTCTTCCTGAGCCAGCCTGGGGCTCACCTCGTTTTTAATGGGGTAGGTGGAGTCTTGCTGCTTTTTGCTCTTCTTGTCTGGCCGGCTGATATCCAGGTTCTTCATGTAGGTGGACAACACCTGAGAGACCCCAATGCCGGACAGGATGCACATCACTGGAGCCAGCACCAGCATGAGACGCACCTATGGCAACAGCACAACTGTCGCACAGGGAATCCAGCAGAAATCCAAGAGAAGAGGGAACTGATGCCATTCCTAATCCAGCACCTCAAATTCAGTGGATATATCAGCCTCGGGGTAAACCTGTGGCTGTTTTTTGTAGGGGGAGCTGCCACCACATCTCAGACATGCCCAGGGGAAATTCCCCGAGTGCTCAAAATTGGCCCACATGGGAAACTGAGGTCACTTCAGCAGTCTCAGGTGGAAGCAAGGATTGGTAGCTGCCTCCACACCAGAACTCAACCACATTTAGTATTCAGGGTGCCACAGGAAGAATGGAAATGGGCTCATCAGCAACCGTTTGTCACCAGTCCCTGTTTGAAAATCCAGGGAATTTGTTTGAGATGGCAGTGGGAGCTCAGCTCTGGGAGATCAGGAACACTGCCCAGGCAGTGCTGGCCACAGGGACACGAGTAACACCCAAACCACTGAATTTTGCAACTTCACCTTCCCTCACAGCAGAGAGGGGCGAAACAAAACCACATTTATGGAAGGGAGAAAAGCCCTCAGGGTGAAAGCACCATCACTAAATTCAGAAAAGCAAATTAAATTGTTATGAGCACTCAGTGGCAGTGCTGGTGCCTGCAGCCCTCACCATGACAGCCGAGAAGTACATGCTGGTCACGCCGTACATGATGATGAAGATACGGGCATCCGAGAGGTTGCTGAAGCAGTAGTAGAGACCAACTGTGAGGGAGGAGAAAAAGGGGTCAGGTTCAGCCCAGAGATGAAATAAAACCAGGCACTGAGGGACACAAAAGGACACAGAGGGACACAGCACTCCCCAGCAGGCTCGGCATAGCCAGAAGAGGCAGGAAAACCCTCTGGAGACTAACTCAGGGTCTGGGAAGTCACCTGGGAACATGAAAACAAGGAGCTGCAGGTCGAAGTAGTAGGAGGACCAGGTGGTGGGCTGGTGCTCAGAGACAGAGGCGATGATGGGGATGTTGTTCTTGGCATAGGAAGGGTCCAGCAGGGAATAGAAACGCCCTGTCCATGGGGAGATCTTCCCTAGGAAAGCGGAGAAAACAAATCCTCTTTGGATCCAGCAGAGTAATGGGCAATGTTGACATGCACTCTCCCAGGGAAGCACATGGGAGGCTGAATGAGTGATCCCAGACCTCGTTTAGAAACTCCATTACTCAAATCTGCCATTTTAGAAAGGAAATACAATGTAATTTCATTCTAAAAAACTCAGCCCTGTGCAACTCCTGGTTCCAGCTAGCATCTCTTTGCTACTACAGAGCAACAATCAGTACCTGCAGCATCAGCCTGGTGTCCCCAGAGTCTCTGCCCCTCCCATCGTACAGCTGCTGCTGAAATATTCCTTGCTAATGCACAAATTCAGGCAGGTCCCAACCTCCCCCTCTGAGGGGACACACAGGCACTGGCACCACAGTAAGAGTTAGGCTGGACAAATTCCATGCCTTTGGAAACAAGGAAAGGCTGTGAAACACCCTTGTAATGGCCATGGCCCCAGGCTACCTGTGAGCATCAGCACAGCCCCGACAGAGAGGAGGACGAAGCCGACCAGGGAAATGACGCTCCTGAAGAGGATTTCAAACTGCTGTGGGTTCAGCTTGCTCCGGAGGTAGTCCACAAAGGCATGGATCTGGCACAAGCCGAAGACTCCAAGGGCAGCCATGTGCTCTGAGGAGAGGACAGGCTGGGAGGGGGGCAGAGTGTGGTCAGACACAGAGACAAACAGGAGACATTACCAGCTTTTTTCCCAAATCACTGCTTGGAACAACCTCTGCCAGTCACAGGAAAACGTTCAAATGTTCCCTCCCTGTGATTTGCACAGCTGGCACAAATCCTTTTCCTACATCCGCTTTGATTCTGATAAGAATCCATGTGGAAAATTAACCAGATTCTCTTGAAAACGAGCTGGGCAGACCTGTTTCCTGCCACACCAAGATACACATGGCATAACTGCTTCCTTCACCAAAACCAAAGACATTTTTATGAGAGACAACCAGTGCCAGGAAAGTTATTAGGAGCTTTGAAAGTCATCCAGCAAAGCCAAAGGCTCATTTTGCCAAAGGTGGCGGGGAATCAGCATAATGGAAGCTGGAAGAAGGAATCATCACCTGCTCATAACCTCAGTGATAAAGGCAAGAAGTAAAACCAGGTGTCAGCGTGCTGTTGTTCTGTTAGAACCCATCCCTGAGTGTGCAAACCCTCCTGGTGCCCACCTGGAAGCCAACAAAGGAGATCTGCATGGAGAGGATGGTTCCCAAGCAGTAGACTGTGCAATAGGCTACGTAGATCCTGTGAGAGAAGCGCCCGGTGAGCATCAGCACCAGGACGTGTAAGGGGATGAGGTTGATCAGGAAGACGTAGCCGCCCCATGAGGAGACCTGCCAGGACACAAAGCAGACACACACCCACAAGTTCCAGGACTGAACAGCTGCAGAGCTGAGGTGAAACACAGAGGTTTAGCTTTCCTGGGATCACGGGCTGGATTTTCACACAGTAGCAATACCAGCTAGGATCTGCTCCATCTTAGGGCATTCTCCACACCCCAGCTGCCAGAAACATGGATTTTTCAACGCTACTAAGAACAGCTCATACAAAACCCACTAGTTTTGGGAAGAAAGGACCCATTCCATTTCCACCTCTATAGAGGTTCTACCTCTCTGGACACACGGACACAGGAACAGCACACCATGGCTTCCTGGTGAGTGCATCCAGAGGGATCTCAGAATCAGGTTCACCCCAGAGCTGGGAGAAGGGACACTCACCATGTAGAAATAGGCGAGGGCACACATGGCTGCCCAATAGATGGAGCCAGTTTTGACAGCCTTGATCCACATGTAGTATGTCAAGAGCATGCAGAATATGGCGATACCTGCAGAAGGACCCGGAGCTGTAAATGTCATCCCTGGGGCACAGCAGAGCACTCAAGCCATTAAAAATAGATTTGTAAATGCTTTTGCTGCTCCATCACACAAAGAGCCAGGCCTGGGAAAAGCATTTGATATCTGGCTTCCAGACCGAAACACTGCAGAGTTTGTCTCTCGCAGCTCACGTGGCTTTTTCCAGCCACACCAGCTGGAAGAACTCCTACACAGCCCCCAAGAGCCCAGCTACAGCAAAGGAACTTGGATCCTCTTCTGCCCCAGGCACTGGCAATGAGATTGCTGCCTTTGCCAGTCCCAATGTCACTGCTGGATCAGGGATAAAACCACAGAGGAACCACAAAGATCTAGGCAGAGTTTGGGAAGGTGACAAAACCCTTTTTGATTGGCAAACAAGGATACTGGAGTAAACTCGCTGCCAGAGTTGGGAAACACTCCCTCTACTCCATGGCATGGCCAAGAACAACCTCTGATCCCAGATGGGTCAGGTTTATACAGCACAAACCCAGCAGGGATCACTGGGAAAGGACAGAGCCTCTATTGTGCCCTGCAGCATTTTCCAGCACCACTTTCCAGCACCCAACAGTCCTTAAAGGTTCCCCCAAAGGTCACAAACTCACCCTCATTATCGTAGGAGCCGGCCACGGATCGAGAGATGTATCCAGGCACAACAGCGATCATGGCAGCAGCAAGGAGTCCTGCCCCTGCATCCTGGGAGAAACAGCCAGGGGAAAGACATCAGGGTTTAGGGATTTTATTACTCAAAGGAATAAAAACTGAGTGTGAAAACAAAGTTCTCAAACAGATCTCCCACTTCCCAGAAGGTCGGGGTTTTGAAGAGTGTGGCGGTCACCTCTAAACCTCTGACCCAGCTGCTCTCCCAAAAGGAAAACAGCTCCTGCTCCTCTGGAAAGCCAAAGCCTGTGGGGCACACCCTGCTGGCCCCTGTACCTTGAGCTCTTTGGTGAGGTGGTAAGTCACAATGGTGGTAAAGGAGGAGAAGAGGGGAGCCAGGAACACGCAGACGTTACGGATGTCGATGGTGATGTGGAAGAAGTGCAGCACGTGGTAAATCGCTGCTGATGTGATCATCAGACCTGGGGATGGAAATGACATCATTATCCAGGTGCTCCAAAGATTCACTGGGAAGGAGCTGCTGCCAAGGATGCATCCCCAAGCTGCCCTCTGTTCCAGCTGGCACTCCTGGATGCAATCCCCACCCCGATTTTCCCTTGCACCAGGTGCATTTCAGCTTGGCAAAAGCTTTACCTGGGTAAATGGTTCCCCCGATGATCCTGCCCAGGGGGTACCACGCTCGGTCATCAAACCAGTTGTGGAATTTGTAGAAGCCCTCCTCAGCCAGGAAGCGGGTGGTGCGGTAATTGAAGTACCTGCAAGGGTGACAAGGTGTGACAGCACTGTGGGGGCTGCTCTCATGTGTTCCACGCACAGGGAACTGGCCCTGTTTTATTCAACTGCCCCAAACATCAGCTGCAAAGGTTCATTCCTCCTCCCAGTGGGCCTAACAGTGCGTTTACAAAGGTGACAATGTCCCTTGGGACTGATTTAATCAGCTTGGGACACTGGCACTAATTGTGCCAGGAGCTCCCTCTCCTGTGTCCAGGTCAGGAATAACCTCATCCCAGGAGAAAAGCAATGGCAGGTGATTCCTGAATCTGGGTTGCAGGAAGAGCCCTGGGTACCAAGTAAATTTGGGTGGGGAAGAAGAGAACCAAGCTGTACTAAAACACACCCTCCAAATCCCACATCTTTAATGGGGATTAACTTGAGCCTGGCACCATTGCCTGAATTCCGTGTGCTCCAGAAGGGGAAAAGCCCAACAGGCCCCCAGGAAATGAGAGAACGACACTCACGGGTCAAACTCATGGATGACACTTTCAAATCTTAAGACCGAGAAAAGTCTTGTGGAGAAAGCTGCAAACACAGAAAAGGGCAGAGTGAACACACAGAGCTCAGGAGTGACCCTCGGTTTCCCTGCACCAGGACCATCCCTGAGGGCACAGACTTACACAGGACAGCTGCCATTGACAGGATGAGGAGCTTGAGCAGCGTGTCCTGCTTCTCATAGGAGAGCCGGAGAAACCCCAACTTGGTCATTTTCACATCAAATGCAGGGCCTGAGGATCCTTGAATGCCTGAACACAATCAAGAAGATATCAAAGAGCAACTCACATTGTCTTTAAAGCCTTCATGAGCCTTTGGACTTTAAATCCCCTGCTATGGCCCAGACTTCACCCCTGCCAGGTGCTTGTGCCTCCCCCCACAACCCCCTCACCCCCTGTCCTGACCTGAGCTGCCACCCCAAATCCTGGCTGGTTTTCCTTCCTTTACAGAGCCCAGAACTTCTCCACGGCAGAGGATGCGCCTGTTTCTCTGTGCACAGAACAAAACCCCCGTGCAAACTTGAGCAAAACCCCTGCCTTCCTTCTGGATGCTCTCTGCAGTTTAACCATCACCTGCAAGCAATGCACAAAGAATATAATCCATGGAGAATGCAAGAAATGGGTGCTTTTTCTCACATGCAGGAGATCTGAACAGCTCCTAGTTAATCCCATTTTGGATTACTTATGTCAAATATATATCCCAGTAGTTTGTTAATGCAGACCAGGATACTAAATCGGTTTTGCTCACACCAGACAATGTGGATGTTTAATTCTACCTCCCTGCGGGGAGGAAAAGCCACAGAAATCGTGGGGTTGCACACCACGGAAGTGAAACTCTTACTGAAGAATCACAACTTAAACATCTTTCTACCTTGAAAACATTCAGATTTCTTTAAATCCTTTCTTGCCCAATCAGTCAGGAAAACCCCTCCCGCTGCTGCGGGCAGGCTCAGTCCCAGCTCGGGTGGGTGAATGCGCAGTTCAGGTCTCTGAGCTACGACATCAGGGAGGATGCATTGGGACAGGCTGAGATTTAAAACCCAAACTGGGCCTAGAAAAGCCTTCCCGTACCCAAAAGTGATTCTGACTGGCACACGTTGGGCACTGCCTGGTACAGAAATACCGTGTGGTGGTTATTTCCTGGATCCCCCGGGATAACGGAGCTCAGTGCAGATGCCTCCGGGCACGAGTGGCTCTGCCTGGGATGCCCCGATGTGCTCGGGAGGTGCCTTCACCGCCCAGGAACTCCCAGTGACACAGAGCACTCCCGACCCGCCGTGCCGCCCCCCACGCCCCCCGGACACCGCCAGGCTCCGGCCCCTGATCAGCGCCAGGGTCTCAGCCCACACGCCTGGGGACTCCTCAACGCCCCGGCTCCCTCTCCCCACACGCCCGGGCACCCTCCAAGGCCCGGGCACCCCATGACCCCTCAGCTCCCTCACTCCGCACACACATCCGGGCACCCCGCAGCCCTGGTACCCCTCCACCCCGCGGCCCGAGGATCCCCCCCAGCTCCCCCAGCCCCGCTCGGGTCCTGCTCCCGTCCCTCACCGCGGCCCCGCCGCCCCGTCCATCCGCCCCGCGCAGCCGCCCTGCCACCGCCGCCGCCAGCCCGCGCCCCGCCCCCGCCCGCTTCCCATTGGCTCTCGGGCACGCCACTCCAAACGCAGCCCCGCTCATTGGCCGAAGCGCCGAACACTCAATCGGGTGCGGGCGGCGCGTGCGGGTCACGGCGCCTTCCGATTGGTGGAGCGGGAGGTGGGCGGTGCCGCCGGGGAACGAGCCGTGAC